AGTAGTAGCAGTAGTAGTAACAGTATCTTAATGATCATAACCATGATAAGGACAACCATGGTAGTAATAGTATTAATGATAATAAACTTGACCCTAAGTGGTTTGACTTAAGGGTCCTCGGGTTTAGGCTTCAGGTTAGGGTCCAGGATAGGCTTTGGGGCTTCGGATGGGCTCAGGGTCTTTGACTGAAGGTTCAGCCTGAAGGTGCCTTAACAATTAGAATAGAATTTTGGGGTTCCTTGTGATATTGATAGTATAATATACCCCCAAATCCTATTCTAGTTATTCAGGCGCCTATATTAGCTTGGCGGTCAGCGCTTGATGGCTACACACCTTCTGCGCTTTCACATGCCACCGGCTGCCTCAAGACCAGCTCACTAGCTTGCATAAGCTTTAGGCTCAAAATGCAGAAGATAAATCTGGGGACCTTCAGGGCTCCTTACGGCTACTATATGGGAAGGGTTCTATAACGCTGGAGAAAGGAAAGCACACACCTGAAATCACTGATAAACAAATGGAACTGGAAGCCCAAACAAAAGGTCTTGTTTGTTCACTACACCACTGCTGCCGGGGGTGGGGGGGGAGAAGCGGCCAACCGCAGATGCTCCCGGGCTACGAAACATGCGGCCGGAGGCCACAACCATATCCGTGCCTTACGAATAGTCACAGTTTATAGTCATACAATTCATACACTTTCTCAGAAGCACTTTACTAACCTAGCGAGAGCTACTGCTAGGACCCGGATTACTTACAAACCGCATAGCACATAATTCCTGACTAAGGACCCACACAGCGGCCATGACACAATCCTTGCACAGAGTCCTAGGTTCCTCTTTCATAAGGCCTATTTATTGCTGCTGCTGTAGCTCGTATTGGGCTGCTCTGAAGGAACCCGACCCCTGGAATAAACAAGCTTCAAGTCCGAAGCTTTGCAACAGAGCATAGTATGGCATGGTGAGCACAAACACACAACTAAACGACTAAAACTACGGGCTTGGGGCTGTCTTTAAGAACACGGGAGCCCCAACAAACGAAAACCAAGACTATGGTAGACGAAGAGTAAAAATCCCAGCATCTCTGCTGACATGGCCCCAGGCCTGAGGAAGTCCGTCATCCGGGCCACGAGCTCCCTCGGGAACTCAGAGATGTTTCGGGCCTCCATGGCGTCCTGATGGTGCGAAGATGTATGAATCTCCCTCCACTTCATGAGCCTGGCTGGAAGAATATTGGGGATGCGAGGACACCAGAATAAGGTACCCCCAACTTCAAGAACACACCATTCTGGGGATGGGAGTTAACGTAGCTTATTTCCTACACCATAAACCCTGTAACACACACGAGCAAGGACGATGCAGCCACCCCCGGACCCCAAGTCCTTGAACTGTGGCATCACCTTGCGGCACAGCTCAAAGTCAACACCGGCAGGGCTTGGTTTCTGAAGCTTTGAGTAGCGTTTAGGGTTTAGGGTTTAGGGTTTAAGGTGCGGAAGTTGGGGCGTGTGGTGAGCCCAAGCCGCTTTCAAAGGAGTGACCACTGGGAATGCACTTCTTTGAAGGAGATGCTCATAAACAGACAGACTCAAGCTCTCGCCGGATGTGTTGAGGTTCAAGATTCAGGTCGCAAGAACATCTGTCTATCTGCTTACCCGTCTCTCTGTCAGTATTTCTGTCTATCTGTCTTGATTTTTCTTTCTGTTTGTCTATCTGTGTAACTACCTATCTATCTATCTATCTATCTATCTATCTACCTGCCATGTTTATGTATGTGTTTATCTATCTATCGATCGGTCTTTCGATCGATCGATCTGACGATTTACCCATCTATCTATGCGTCTATCCCCTGCTTTTGAAGCACACCCGCACCCTAAACCCGAAACGTTGACTCTACACTCGAAACTGCAAGCCGCACGCCTGGCTTCTAAGGTACAGGAGCTCCTTGATCCAGGGTCCTGACGGCTTCTCTTGGTGTTTGTGAGCTCCTTTTTTACCCTCGCCCGTCCGTTTGAGTAAAGGTTTAGGGTTGAGTGTTCGGGTTTGAGGGGCTTGGGAACTTGGGTTTGAGGAATAGCGTTTTGCATCTTAGGCAGGTTGTACCTGTGCCCAACAACAACTCCTGATTTATGGGGTATTACGCCTGGATCCCTCAAACCAGTAGTGGTGGTAGTTGTCTTTTCTTGTTGGCTCTCTGTCGTTGTCGTTGCTGTTGCTGTTGCTGCTGCTGTTGGTAGCGGCAGTGGCGGTGGCGGCTGCTTCCGGTTCTATGACTATCGTGTTCGGCGGCGGGCCTTTCCCTCGCTGCTGCCCCGATTATGGCCCTAAACCGTAAACCCTAAACCCTAAACCAGGCTTGGACGCCTAAACCGAAAACCCCTGGACCTGAGATCCGTCCCGCAGCTTTGTCAGTAGGTGATGGGAGACCCAGAAGCTTAATGTAGGGGCCTTAACAGTTAGAATAGGGTCTTGGGGTACATCTATACGATAATTTCTGTAAGGACCCCCCCCTCCCCCCCAAAAAAAAAGTATAGTTAGTTATTTAGGCCCCTATATAGCCCCTATCTGTATATATATATATATATATGCACACACCCTTAACCCCGAAACCCAAGATCAAGGACCTGAACGTGCATGCTCATTTCGGGAACCCGCCTCCTCTATCAGAACCCCGAACACCTGTACCCAGACCTTCCAATCTCCTTTAATTAAGGAATATGGCTAAAATCATAACAGACATGCTCTATCACTTATAGTTTATTGAGACATTGAGGCATATTCCTTAATTAAGGGATTTTGGAAGGTCTGGGTATAAACAACCGTAACCATATACGACGCTGTAAACTCCTCTCGCTACGCCTTGCCTTGCTGGATGTAGGCGTACCACTTGTCGAAGCGGATCTGGGACACAATCCCAAAATGCCCTAATTTCTAACCCGAAAACCGAAAACCGAAAACCCTAAACCCTAAAACCCTAAAGCCCTAAACCCTAAACCCTAAAACCCTAAACCCTAAACCCCTAAACCCTAAACCCATACACGACACCCTAAACCCAACACAGCGGTACTGTTGTCAACGTCAGAGGACGGATGAGGATCGAGGTCTGCGACGAATCGGTGCGGCTCAAACCTATGCCGTCCTTGGTTGGGGACCAAATGACCCTTATAAGTAAGGGGCCCTATACCCTTGTACTATGAATTCCTACATTTTATACGAACCTGAACCCTTTTTAGGGTTTCGTCCTTAAGGGTAGACCCATTAAATCCGAGAACGCACTGGCTCCGGCTTTGAACTGCCTGGTGGATGCCCTGGGTCTCACCAAAACGAAGGGTGGCTTCCGAAAGTAGCGGCCGCTTCGTAGGGATCATCTGGGAGTTTCCGAAAATAGGGACCCTAAGATCGTACCCTGAATAATAGGATCCTTATGATAAGGGCCCCAAAATAAGGGACCCTTATTTTCGAAAACTCTCATCTAGAGTCAGGACTCTAGCATTTCAAGGTCGACGTCAGGGTACCCTCTTCTAGAGAAAACCACTGAGATCCTGGACTCTTGGACCATGGAGGTCCTGCTTAATTTAAAAGCCTAGTAGGTCTAAGAATTTTTAAGCCTTCAGCGTACCCTTAATCTAGAAGCCTAAGGTCTAAGAACGTCTAAGACTAGAGTTCAAACCCGTGGCACATGCGGTCACGAACACCCGAGCCTGCACACACTGCACAGATGAAGGTTTCAGCATGAAGCCGTACACGCATATCCAGCTAAACAAACCAACAAGTGTTCCCTAATCCCCAAACCCTAGCCCCTAAACTACTAACCCCTACACCCTTCTTTTGTTGAAGTCCTTTGGAAAACCCCTCGCCACTAGGTTTAATCAAGGTGCAGGCTACAAGGTACTGCCCAGACGCCTGAATGACGGTTTAGGGTTTAGGGCTCATAAAGGATTCAGGGTTTAGGGTTAAATGCAGTACCTTTCCTTGCTTCCCCTATAGGATCCTGACCATAAAATACATCATCCGATAAAACGGTACTTGTGACATTTGGGGGGTTCCGAAAATAGGAGACCCTAATATAGTACCCTAAATAGTAGGACCCTTACAAGGACCCAAAATAAGGTACCCCTTATTTTCCGAAACTCCCATTCAGGGTCTCGGTAGAGAGCATCGTCTGAGGTGGAGATGCTCACGGTGCTAAGCAGCCGCACTGTTCCTACAGACCAAAAAGCCCGAAGCATTCAGCTGCAGCCTAAGTTTAGGGTTTAGGGTTTAAGTCGGGTTTAGGGTTTAGGGTTTATAGCCCTAAACCCTAAACCCTAAACCCTAAGCCCTAAACCCCAAACCCTAGGGTCTGCCTCGCCCTTCTTCTCGTCCACCATCAGCGCATTCGCAAAAAGGAGAACGAAAGGTGAGAAGACGAGCGACGAGTCCATGATGGAGTTGAATCTCGGGATTCGGGTCGACTATAGGAGCCTTCTTAGGTCCAGTAAAGTTTTCGAGTATACTATACAACTGCCAAGGCTCCGATATTATGGGGCGGAAAGACGCTAGATTTCAACAATTTGGGTTTAAAATGTAAGGTTTCGTGTGCTGTGCTTAGTCTCGGTTGTTGGCTTCAGGGCTTGGGGCTAGAATCTCGGGCGTTGGGTACCCTGAGCTCCATGTCCAGGAAACCAGGCCTAAAACTGTCATTCTCAAGTTACCGGTAGTCTCCATTGTAGCTCTCTTTTTTGCGTAACCAACTATATTAATTTAGGATCCTGAAAAACACCAAACAAGAACTAGGATGGAAACAACTTCAAGACGGTCTCTTCACCGCCCTCAGCGCCGAAGAGAGCCGCCAGCTCTGAGGGAGCCCAGAAGATGAGCTCCTCGTCCTCCAGGCTCTCCACGGTCTGCAGGAAGGCGCTTGTCACGTCCCCGCACTCAAGCTTAAAGCCTCTGTTAGAAGCCGCCGCAGGGAGGGCGGACCGGCCAGTTCGGCTCAGAGTCGGGGCTGCCGTCTGCACCGTCGTCAGGTTAGGCTGCTGAAAGCCCAAGACCACAAGCCTGGTCTTGGCCGTCCCGCTGCTCTTCTCGTAAGGACCCACCTCATGCGCATCACGCGCGCGTAGTCCAAGTCCTTCAGCTCGGACCCTGTCAAGGCCCGAACGGCTGCCGAGGTGAGGACGTTGTTCAGCTCGATGGCCTGGGCCTCGTCGAACTCTTTCTTTTCCTCAAGAGACAACTTGCTCCACGTCACCTCCTTGGACTTCTCCGCCATCTTCTGCGACATCCAGATGGCAGACTTAGGTTCTTCAACCACCCTAAGGGTCCAAATACCTAATGATATGTATGCTCTCCCAGACTTTAACCTAGATAGCCACTATCCGCAACCAAAGTACCTTCTTATTGGGTCTTTCGGACCCTAAACACTAAGCCCTAAACCCTAAACCCTAAACCCTAAACCGGGTCAGGTTGTAGTCCTCCTCAGTCAACCTCTGTTGCAACCACGAGCTGCACTGCTACACGAGGGAAGGGCTTGGTTGGTCCGGCAGCTGATAGCCTGATGACTCTAAGGGTTTAGGGTTGTAGGGATTTAGGGTTTAGGGTTTAGGGCTTAGGGTTTAGAATTTAGGGCTTAGGGTTTAGGGTTTAGGGTTTAGGGCTTAGGGCTTAGGGTTTAGGGTTTAGGGTTTATGACTCGAGCTTGGGCTTTAGGGCTTATGGGGTTTAGGGTTCAAAGCTTCAGGGTTTTATCAGGGTTTAGGAAGTTTAGGGTTTAGGGTTTAGGCTTTGTAGAGTTTATAGGGCGGAACCGTGGGCACCCGGAAACCTAACATGGAAACCTAACACCGCTTTTCACTAAGACGTCTGGTTCAGAAAGCACAGTGGCGCCGCAAAACCCTAAACCCTAAACCCTAAAGCATCTGAACTCCCCAGACCCCAGCAGTGCAAACGAGAAGGGAGTTCCGGGTTGAAGCCTGGGTGTATAGGCTCATATATCATATATGTATATATATATATATGTATATGTATATGTATATATATATATATATATGTGTGTATATATATATATAGGTACATGTACAGGGGGTTTTCGGGTTTTGGATTTAGGGTTTATAGTATAGGCAAACCACTACCGCTCACATCAAAAACCTATACATCCTGGAAGCGCCAGGGCCTACACCATAAATACGGCTTCTAAACCCACATCTTCTGGCAAATACTTTACCCGGAACCCTCAGAATGGGGCCTAAAACCCATACCCTGACGCCCTCGAACCTGAAGTAGGAGTCTGAACAATTGGACGGGATTTGGGGTGCTCACACCATGTAGAAGTATAGCAAGGAACCCTAAGCAAACCAGTTCAGCTTACTCAGGCCCTATATTGCCCTTTATTAAGCCTCAAAGGAACCGGCCTACCCATCTTCATGGAATCGCTGAAGACCATCCACTCTTCTCCGTCCTACGCGACATCATGGGGCTCGGTACATCTTGCACACAGTTGCAGCTGAGGCGCTTGGGGAAGTCAGAGTTTCGGGTGGAGTCACTCATCTAACAAACATCAGCAGAAGGCATCCTGAAAGCTGTTCAAGCCCTGAGCCCTCAACCTATAAACCCTACGAAGTCTAGCTAAATAGACTTGCATTTCAAAGACTCGAAACCAAGGTATACATCATTAGGGGACCCTAAAGCATGCTTTGGTTTTGATCATTACAACTACCTTGTTCACCCTAATACAGAGGCCTGAATGGGGTTTCGGGGTTTCGGGGTTTCTTATACTATAATGATAATACGGAAACCCCCAACCCCCTATTCTAATCATTAAGACGCCTATATTCAACCCTAAAAAGGCCACCCTACTATTGCACCCGCGGCAAGCGGTCCGCGCCAGACATTTGGTAGTCAGCGTTTGCGGACCCACGGAAGGGGGACACCTCCAACTTCACCGCGGAGGGATTCATTTCTGCAGTATTTTGAGCCTAGGGTGTAGGTTTAGGGTTTAGGGTAGGGTGTAGAGTTTAGCATTCATGATTGAAAGTTTATCGGGTTTGCAGACTGAGGCTCCTAAAAGCTAGTAATCCCGAAAGGGAACTAGTATGGAGCCTATGGGTATTGCTAACTTCCCGGATAACCCAATCCAACGAAGCAAAAGCTTGAACAGTTTACCTCTCAGAGCGGTACTGATTCAGAAGCTCTCAAAGAAGACTGCAGGCGGGTATTCGGTAACTAGGTTTATACTCGCTATCATAACTCTTTACCTAAAACCCTAAACCAGGAACTCTTAGATGCCCGCCGAAAACGAGCGCTTCCGGCATTTGGGTTGACCTATCGGGCCCAGTGCGTGGGGCTAAAGTTAGTTAAGGGCCTGCCTGAGCCCTGAAATGCCATGTTTTCCGCTCTGCTTGTTTATTCACAGAAGGAGGGATGCGAGTAGTTCTCTAAACTGTCGGACCCTTTTTTGTAAGGGTGCCGTACTATTTGGGTGACCCTAATTTAGAGAACTAGCCGACTGTTTTGGGGCTACCTGGGTCTGGGGCTTCACATCGTAATTTTGCTCGCCGAACTTTCCGCGTCTTGGGCTCAGGTGACGCCTCACACACCAAAAAAATGAAGCCCTAAATCAACGCCCTATACCGCCGATACATGACATGGTGCATTGTTGTAGTAGATATTACCCATAGGCCCCATAGTAGTTCCTTTTGGGGATTACCTTAGAGGATTCTAAACATGAACCCCCCAAAAGGAACTACTATGGGTCCTATACCCTAAACCCTAAACCGTAAACCCTAAACCCTATACAAATTCTATAAACCCTAAACCCAAAGCCCTAAACCCTAAACCCTAAACCCTAAACCGTCGATATACAAGAACCGAGTAGCCGGAATGGGTCACCCCGGCGGCCTTGGGAGTTGCCCTAGCGACCCATAACCGAGCGGGAAGCCTCCTGAACCCCAATATACTAGAATAGGGCTTGGGGTATATTATAGTATAATTATAATAGGGAAACCCCCAACACCCTATTAAAATTTTAAAGGCCCCAACTACATCAAACCTTAAACCCTCATGCCATGGCGTCTGCAACACACAAGTCTGCGACTCTTTCGGAGAAACTGTCAGAGGCCTGCGGTGAGGGTCTCCCGGCGTCGATGCCATTTGGTTGCAGAGAGTTTTGAACTAGGGTTTGGGGTTTAGGGTTTCTGGTGGTCCCCCCGCCCCACATATCCTGTTTCTTCCGGACTCAGCTCCGGAACCTCGTCATCCTCGCCCGTGGAGATCTTTGGCTCCGCCCCGGCCTCACTGTCGGTCACGGCATGGTGACAGAGGTCCTTTGCAGTGGGTTTCTCCAGCTCGTGCAGAAAGCCTGCTGAGCAGGAGGACGCGAACCAGATGCCCCTGTCATTGAATTATGGGGATGATAGGGCTCATCCAGGGTGGACAGTACAATATTTCTTGGGTAGTCAATTATCTATGGGGCGCAGAGTTTCGGGTGTCATAATATAGGGGCCTTAATAATTAAAATAGGGTTTTGGGGCCCACTATACTATAATTATAATAAGGAGCCCCCAAACTAGTATGGGCAATTATTATAGGCCCCTACATTACTGCAAAACTCAGGGTTCCAGGCGCTCAGGCTCAGGGCTTGGAGCCTAGCTCACCAGTCGCGCCTCCTCGTTGCTATCGAGGTACCAGTACCTGCCACAAAGGAAGTTCCAAAAGCAAGAGCAATACCCATAGGCCCCATAGTAGTTCCATTTTGGGCTTCATATTTAGAATCCTATAAGGTACTCCCAAAAAGGACCTACTATGGGGCCTATGGGTACAGTGTAGCCCAGAGAAAGCTGAAGGATGGCTCAAAGGAGGAATAATGCTAGGATTCCTTGTGCTGTACCGTAAGGGCAGGAGAACACTAGCGTGCTCCAACTGTCTAGCTTCTGTTATAGTAGGCTTCAACAGGGCTTTGCTTGCTTGAGCACTTTGAAAATCATGCGTAATGTGGGGGCCTTAATAATCATAATAGGGTTTTGGGGCGGCCCTTTATTATACTATAGCTATAGAAAGGAACCCCCAGAATAACATAGGTAACTAACTACCCTAAGGGTCCATGTACCTAAATAGTAGAACATTGGCCCTAAAGTACCCATATAGGGACTACATTAAGGCCAAAGTATGTACTATTTGGGTACATGGACCCTTAGGGCTATTTAGGCTTCCATAGTAATGGATCGCTCTTGTCGCACTTAGTGATGCGCAGCTCTCTTAGCCTTGGGAGCCGCTCTCTCCAGGCTTTGTTTGAGGGCTTAGGGGTTTAGAGCTTAGGGTTTAGGCTTAAAGGGTTAAGGGGCTTAGGGGTTTAGGGTTAAAGGGTTTAGGGGTTTAGGGGTTAAAGGGTTAAAGGGTTAAAGGGCTTAGGGGTTTGGGGTTGAAGGGTTAAAGGGTTTAAGGGTTAAGGGGCTTAGGGGTTTGGGGTTTAGGGGTTTAGGCTTAAAGGGTTTAGGGGTTTAGGGGTTTAGGGTTTAAGGGTTTAGGGGTTCAGGGGTTTAGTAAATTTAGGGTTTAGGGGCTTTGGATTTAGGGTTCAGGGTCTTTGCATCTGAGGAGTCTAAACGACCAGGAGAAGCTCAGGCACGCTGCCGACTGTGGTTTCCGACCGTACCGCTCAACTCGTTCGTCAAACCATGCGCGGCTCAGCGTTGCAAACCCACCAGGCGTAGTGGGATGATGCCGGATATGCGCCCAGGCCCCATCCAGTCTCCACCAAACACATAATTCTCACGAGGGAGGGGTAGCGGCAAAGCATCAAAAGCCACGCAAAGCAGCCAAACAATTAGCAAACGGACTAAGTACACAGCTAGTTAAAGTTACTTATTAGTTAGTTAATCGATACACGAGCAAGTAAACTGCATACAAGTATGCGTGCGTGCATGCCTGCCTGCCGCCCTACCTACCTGCCTGCCCGCCCACATACATACTTGCATCCATCCCATCCATGCATGCATGCTTACATTCATACATACATTGTGGCGTGAAGCACGAAGCTGGTACCCCGCACTACAAGAACCCTCCTATTTAAAGCCCAACATACAACTAGACACCCAAACCACAATTCAAAAGGCGGATCGCTGAGGGAATCCGAAATACGAGGCCCTAAACGAGGGATCCTCGATCCGATCCAACTTCAACCCACCTTTCGAGCCCTATGGTCTTCCCTAAAGCCGATAACCCCACGCCCTCACCTGAGAATCCCGACGACGGTTTAGGGTTTAGGGTATTATAGGGTTTAGGGTTTAGGGTTTAGGGCCGATAAACCCCAAACCCTCACCTGGGAATCCCGACGGTGAGCGATTACCCCGATAGAGGACGCAGACATTGGGGGCAAAGCCGGCAACCATGGCGGCTTTCAGGAGTGCATCCTCAGGATGCCAAGGAATCTCCCCCGGGGGTCAGAGGGCCGAAAAGGATCCCAGAATCAGGTGCGGCACCCGGGTTTGGGATACAGTTATGTAGGTGAAAATATAGGGGCCTAAAAAAATTACCAAGATTGTTTTGGGGGTTCTTTACTGTAATTAAAGTATATAGGCGACTTTTTTGGGGAGTTTGCTTAGCTACTGGGACCCCTAGGCCTTGTAAGGGTCTTGCCTAACCCTAAACCCTAAACCCTAAACCCTAGGCCTTATAAGGGTCTTGCAAGTCGTTACGGCTCTTCAGGCTTCAGGGCTTCAAGGTCGACGGGCTTTCGGGTTCAGGAGGGTTCAGGGTTTAGGGTTTAGGGTTTAGGGTAGTCATGTAAGGGCCTTAATGGTTAGAATAGGGCTTTGGGGTAGAACCGGAGCCCCCATGCAAATAGTATGGGTAGATATTTCGGCCACTATATTACGCAGACTGTCATACGTAAACCCTAGGGTCCAGGACCTCTTAAACGCTCAAGACATCCTCTGACCCTTGACCCTCAACTCAGCGAACACACACTCCAAGATTTTTGCATCCTGAAAAAGAATGAACTCGTTGGCCTGCTTCCGTCTCTGCCTGGATCGAGAGGTGGAGATACCGGATATTCGACCCAGACCGCCCCGAAGCTTAAAATGGAGTTTCGTTTCTGCAACAGACAGAAGAGGCGGCAACATGAACCCTGCATAGCCTTAAGAATCAAGAGTGTCGCAGCTACTGCTGCTGCTGCTGCAACCAAGGTGTTTTATGAGAGTGAAACATGCAACTAAACCCTACAGGCTGAACCAGGAATGCGAGCACGCCGACATCCGGAACTACGCGAACCTCCTGCAGTGGCAATGACAGGCATAGTGCGGACAACAGCTATATAAGCCCCACATACCCCCCAACCCCCCGGCCCCCCTCCCGCCAACGCCCCAAGAGCCTACCTATTGTGAGTAGGGATCCCTTGCTAATGCTTGCGTCCTTGTCTGAAACCTACATGCTATTACAGCCTGAACTCATGGATCAGAAGCCCTAGCTAGACCCACCCTTTTTCCTGAATCCTGAAGCCTATATACATCTCCTAAACCCCCGATCCTATGCCCTAAACTCCTTGGTACTGCCCTCAAAGGATCCTACGAACCCACAACAGTAAAATTCACGGCCGTGCACTCTTTATTGAATCGCTTGCCTAAACCTCAACCCCAAAACATGACTCCTGGACCCCCCACCCTAAACCCTAAACCCTAAACCCTAAACCCTAAACCCTAAACCCTAAACCAATGTATTCCCAGGTTCCACATCGGAGCCCTTCTTGACAGGATCGACTTCCCCAAGGTCGCCTTCACCCGTGACGTCCTGCTCAGATTCCCCGGCTTGGTGTTTCATATAGGGGGCCTTCATATATACGATACTTATGATTAAGGCACCCCCCAATTCCCGGCTTAGTGTTTAACATAGGGGGCCTTAATATTTAGAATAGGGCGTTGGGGCACATTCTACTATATACTCATAATTAAATTAAGGAACCTCCAAAATAGGATAGGTAAGTATTTAGGCCCCTACATTAGGAACTTTGGCCTATGATCCACAGAACCACAAGAAAGCAGATTTCGTCGGGCCAAAGTAGGCTTCGCGAATCTTAGTTTCAACCCTAGGGCTCTTAGACTTAGGCTTAGCGCGAATGTAAACGAGAGAGACAGAAAGAGAGATCTTTACTTGTACATTATTGTTATGAACATTAGTAAATTATGAATATATTATTTAGTCGCTTTAGTCTATCCTCCTTAATATACTCTTAGTAACTAGTATAGTTGTAGCTTGCTAGCTAGACTGGTAGCTCCCGGAAGCACATACCGCAAACCACAAAGTTCCTCTAAAACCCTAAACCCTAAATCCCTCCCCTGGGCCGCAAAAACGTCCTAATCCCGACCTGCGCCCCGAAAGCGAGGCTCCAAATCAAGATGACAAAGCCAGGCCCTTGAGTCCATTGGGGTTTAACAGAGGAACCTTAATAATTGGGTTTAGGGTTTAGGGTTTAGGGTTTAGGGTTTAATATAGGGGCCTTAATGTAACGAAGGAAACTACAGGTGGGGAGTTTAGGGTATATAGGGCTTCTATAAGGCTTCTGTAAGGTACATAGACCTTCTATAAGGCTCCTATAACGGTAACTACCCACCTGAAAATGTCCTAGATTGAAAAAAGGGACCTTAATAATTGGAATAGGGTTTTGGGGCCCATGATACTATAATCAAAGTAAGGAAATATTTGGGATTTAGGCCCCTACATTAGGGTTTTGGGCTTTAGGGTCTTGGGTTCCTCTTTTAGGGTTTCGGGCCAATTTGCGGTTCAATGGTCTAGGTTTTTAGGGTTTAGGGTTGCGAGCCAAACTAGGAGGCAGGAACACCGACCCCCGGCTCCGAAGCGCGAACGCTAGAAGCCCAAGCCCCAACACCCTGCCCCCTGAACCCGACGTCAGGCATCAACCCATAGGCCCCCATAGTAGTTCCTTTTTTGGGGGTTCATATTTAGAATCCTATAAGGTAATCCCAAAAAGGAACTACTATTGGGCCTATGGGTAGACCCTAAGCCCTTAATCCGCAAGCCTGTAGACCGTAAGCGCCCTGAACCCTTATCCCGAAGAGGATGTCCGACTGTTACCAAGCCCTTATTCTGCAAGGCTACGAAGACCCCGTCAAAGACCCGGCAAATACCTGTACAAGATCCACCGAAGGCATTTTCATGAAGTTCGTGCACTTTTAAACCCTAAACCCGCCTACAACCCTAAATACTAAATCCTAAACCCTAAATCCCATGGAAACCCACCTACGACGTTTTCGCCGCGGCGCCTCGCCATCGTAGCCGGCATCCACCATGAAGGACACGAATTGCTGCACCATCCTGGCGGTATGCTACAGAGGCCTAGAACATGTCTGCCTGTAGGGGTGAAGCCCGAAAACCCTAAACCCTGACATCTGCTTTTCGGGGTGAGGCTTGAGGATTTCAGGCTTTGGGATTAGGCCTTCGGGCGTTGGGGTTTGCTTTAGTTCTTGCCTAGCCTATTTCGGGGTTAAGGGCGTAAGGTTTATGACTTGAGGGTTGAAGGTTCAAGCTAAACTTTCTTCCAAAAGGAAACACCAGGAGCTTAGCAGCGAAGAACAGGGCGCGCATCAATCCCTTTATGGTCATACGTCGATGTTTCAAACATGGAAAGATTTGTCTCCGCTTCGTTCGTTTCAAGACGTTCCCTTTAGCCTGCACACTGCGCTTACGACCTCGGACGGGGCCGGAATTACGCCAGTCACTGCAACTCTACGACAGAGTCAGGTTGCCGGGTCGGACGAGGCTAAAACCTTTAGCTGATTTGGGGTTTGGCGTGAGGGCTCTTTCCGGATAACAAATAGCTCCAACTTACACCCCAACTTACCCCTCCGTTGACAAGCCCTTGCGGTTGTAAGCCAAGTGTTACCGTGATATCGAAAGCCAAAGGGAGGGGGAGTGTTAACCAGGCAAGCTTTCAGGTCCTCTAGTAGCCCGTGAAGAAGCGGTTATCAATCAATCAGAGTGTGTGTTGTAGGCCTCAGCCAGAAGTAGGTTTGATTTGTCGTAAAGACGCGGAGGCTTGGAGGATTCCATCTGACGAAGTTTTCACCCTCACCTAACGTCCGAACCTTTGCACCCTCAAGCCCAATCCACCGAAGAACACCCGCATGGCGTGGCCGTTTCAGGGCATGTGGGTTCAGGCATGAGTTCGTGGGGCTTGCGGCTTTAGGCTTTACAGGGTTTAGGATTCAACGGGCGAAAACTCAAAAAGTTTGGGACCAGTATTTATTTTTAGGGTTTAGGGCTTAGGGGGTTTAAGATGTAAGGCTTTAGACCCCTAAACCCTAAAACCCTAAAACACTGAAACCTACATCCTAAACCCTAAACCCTAAACCCTAAAACCTAAGACCTTTAGCTTTGACAGACCAGGGGGTTATCTGAAGATGCCAGCGGTGCATGAAGGCCATGTCCAGCGTCTCGGGGCTCAACCCCTGGTGCCGTGGGACTAGGGGCCTTTGGGTTTAGGGTTTG